TCCCAGCTGCTTTCCCGCGGGTGATTTCGCCCATCACGGGCCGTTTCCCGGGAAAATGCCCCGCCGCCCCCAGGCGGCAGAGCCTCTCTCTGGCTTGGGACGGCAGCACCGCTGCCCCTACTGGCATCGCCCGCCACGGCGTCACCAGGCTCCTTCCTCTTCAACTCCATCACTACGCTCATCAGTTGCGATAACTGGCCCTCCAGCCTCGCAATCGCCGGATCCTCGGCGTGTTGCTGTTGCGTGGCTGAGGTCTCTTCCCCCAGCCCTGCGACGGAACCGCTGTCCGACGCAGACATGACCCGATGCGGCTATCCCTCGAGGGACAATCAACTCTAGAGTGTTTGTCGGCCGTACTCCGCGTACTTATCGGGACTTGTTTGTGTAGTGTATTAACTTCAGACGGTGAGACAACGCCCGTACCCAGGACGCTGTCGTGCTCGGAAAGCAGGAGGAGAAAGAGAGAGTGGCAGCGCGGCTGCTGCACTCAACAAAGGGGGTCCCGGTGCATCATCACCGTACCCCTACCTAAAAGGTTCTACACCATCTGCGTCACACTTGTACGTATGGCTAATGTATCCAAACCATGTCCGTAGACCCACGAACACGCTCAACGAACAAGAGTGGGTGGACGGTGCCCCATTGCTTCTTAACGGGTATAACGCGATCGGAAATCGTCAATCCTTCGAAGAACGACCAAAAATGCGCACGTTCATGTTCGTGTCAGGAGGCCCCGACAGCACATCTGTAGGGGGAACCACGGACTGGGAATCTACAGCAAGGGGTGGGACAGGCCGCTCCATAGCGGAGGTTGGCGGTGGGCAAGGCGCACAGCAAGCCGAATCGGGGGGCAATCGACAAAGCAACGGTGGCGGCAACGAAGACGGCGGAGGGGACGACGTCAGTGCCATCACCGGCGCCACGAGTGCTGCGGGCGAGCAGGACGACCACTCCGCGAACACGGCAGACGGGGTGAATGAACTGCCGAATTAACGTTTACGTTTGGGCGTTAATGTGCAGAATGCTCGGTCCCTCGGGGAACGGTTCAACCTTGGTGGGACGTTTTGCTTGAGCGGCTACGAGAAATAATTAACGGCACGTGCCGATGGTGAAACAGGCGTTGAACGACACAAAGCGACCCGTGGTACCCCGTTTGCCCTTATTCTAAGGAGACAAACCCTCCGCGCCCAACCCTGTGCGGCCATTGCAATGGTGACTAAAGGTAGCTGCGGTGGGCCTAGAAGCGAGGGCGGTGGCTCGAGACGCCGAGCAGCTGCGGCTAGCCCGGGCCAGGAGAGCCGCGAAAGAGGAGAGGCTACAAATGTACGTAAGACGGAACATGCACTCCAGCCCGTCGGTGCACGCTGTTGCCACAGGACGTACAGAAAGGCTCGCGCCCGGGGGTGACAGGGTGACAGAGAGCTCTTCAAGCTGGGTCTCTGGCACACTTTTGCGTAGACCACTCACCCACCCGAAGTACAAGCTGCCTCGATAGTGGTTACAGCACTCCCCTAACGACGAACGACGTGCACCGGCCAAGTCTCCCCCTCCACCGGTCCCTTCACCGACGCGTGCCTAGCGTGGGGACTCGACGAACAATCACTTCACTTGTCCTGTGTACCCAGTGTGATGCCTGTCATATCCTATTCGGGCGTTCCATGAGGGCATACGTGTAAACTGCTAATGGTGCGTACGAGAAGGAGCGCACCTGCGCCCTCCACCACCCACGTGGGGTGCGCACACCTCATTTTCAAGAAAAGCTGGAAATTTCATCCGCCCGGAATTCCCGTGCCATGACGGCACCACCTCCTTCTCAGAGAGAAACGGGAGGCGATTGAGACCGAGAGGAGCGCTCGTCGGCGTGCAAAGGACCGTGCGGAGGCTGCGAGAGCGGAGCGCAAAGCCAAAACACTCGCCCGGAAAGAGCTGCAGCGGAGAAGGGAAGCGCTAGACCAGCAGGAGGAAGACGCCAGGTGACGACGGAAGTGCGTTGTGTTTTTCTCCGGTTTTTGCTGGTGCAGAGGTTGGTGCGATCGTGTTGGCATCAAGGCGTCGAACATATCTCCCACGCGACGCCACGAGACCGTCAGTGGAAAAATTTATATTTGGTTACCCACCGAACCTTTCTTAACTTTGCTCTTTGCGCTCGGGGCGCGTTGGTTTCACGGCGAAGGGTGGAGAAGGAAAAGGAGCAAGAAGAACGTCTGCTTGCCGATGCCGCCGAGAGAAAGCGCCAGGCGAAGCTCCGCCGGGCACGAGAAAGGGAGCAGAGGAAAAGCGTTGACATGGAGAAAGCCAGGCACGAAGAAGAGATGGAGAAGATAGAACGGTGAGTTATGCAGGAAAGGCAGGAAGGTTCAGAGTCGGGTTCAAGGCAATTCTGTTACGTGGGCTGAAGGCGTATTTCAATTTTTTCTGCAGCGAGCGTGAGACGCATGAAACGGCCCGAGATGCAAAGCTTTTCAAGTTCAAGGTTGCCGTCACAATGCCCAGTAGATGAATGTAGCCTCCACATTTTCTACGATTCTCTCGTGTTGCTTGTCCGGCCTAGCAAAGGTTTCCGTTTCTCTTCGAACCATCCAGCCAGGTGTTGAACTCATAAAATATTCTCGCTACATCGCTCATACTACTTGAGCGCTCCTCACCCATTCGCCAACCTGTCACGAAACCGTCGCAACTTCCTCACATTCTTCGTCAACTCTCTCTCACAAATACACACTATATCTCGATCTCCATACCCGTTCTTCGGTGCTGACCGCGCCATAAACGACACAAACACAACAAACAACACGTTTCGGCAACAAAGATGGCGACAGCAAGAGCGAGAGCGAAAACTCGAAACCGCGCAAAGAGAGCAAGAGGCCGAGAGAGTCCTAGAGGCGGCACGGGTTTCCAAGCTGGAGGCATCATTGAGAGAGGAAGAGCGCCGACAAGCGGAAGCAGAGGCGAGGAAGCTCTCGCTGAGAGCGGAGAAGGAGGTCGCCATGGCTAGACTGAAAAGGGGCGAGTTCCGGTGAGGATGTAGTCTTGATAGGTGAAGAGGAATCGTTCAGAGGACAAGAAGGGGGAGCTTGGCTGCGGTTACAGGCCTTAGAGCGAAAACGTTTATCAGGAATGGGATTGATGAGACTGAATTATTTGTTCCCTTGCCTTCGTCACTGGACGGCTGGACAACACCCCCTTGAAGATGGAGCTTTTCTCTGACTTTAGCAGAGGCCATGTTGTCAAGCTTTCACGCCCTCTGTGCGCGACGTACACATGACACTTCAGAAGGAACCTGACCTTCATTCTGGTCCATTCCTCTGTGGCGTCGGGGGGGGGGGGGG